CACGTAATTTTTATATATTAAGATAAGATAAACTATCCTATCTTTCAAGTTGGATGAAACTGCACACAGTGTGCAAAATTTTATTAAAATCGGTTCAGTAGTTTGGGAGTCTATTGCGGACAAACAACGTGACACGTAATTTATACATATTATGCATTACAATAATACAAAGTTTTCAAGTAAACAGACACGTGCCTGTATATATGCCAAAATAATTATTCATAACTTATTTACATGTGTGTATGTGTGTGTGAATGCATATGATTTATATATTTGTTGTTAGTCATAAACTTATATTAGAAATAAGTATTATTCACATTGTATTTAAATAATAATGTTCTTACCATATCGAAATGAAGTATTTTCGAAGTTAAATTCTCGAGAAAGTTTCTTTTGACGGGATCGTGCCTGTCTGAGGGTTTAAATCCACGTGATCGTATTACATTGTCCGCAGAAATGCTCCTTTGTAAATAATTCTTTTCTTGCAAATTTTCGTAACAACTTTGATAACTGCTGATATATTTTAGATTCACATTATTTAAATTGTTACTATTGTTAGGTGTTAAAACGTATGACGTATTTGTTGTTAAAACGTTATTACGTTGCTTGGCGTTGTTAAATCTGAAAAGTAAAAATACAAAAAAAAAAATAGATAAAACAAATTAAGAAGAAATTAATTCGTCAGAAATTATTGTAAATTTAATACTAATTTATTGTATTAACACTAGATATACCAGACCAGTCATTTTGACTAGTGTCGGGCCATTTTAATTCAAAATTTCTACTTCACATGTAACATTTGTGTTCTGTAAATAATTATTGCATTTTGTTATTTAAAAATTATTATTGTTAAACATTTTTTGTTATTTTTTTTATAAGAATAAATAAAGACTGTAAATCTCAAAAAGTATTTTTTTTTATATACACCAGTCATTTTGACTAGTGTTGTAGAAATATATTAAAAATGGTGGTATATCTAGTGTTAAGTAAAAAATCTTTATACTACCAACTTTGTACGATAATTCAAATTAATTGATACACATTAATTAGTAATTTATCAAAAATATTTAATTAATCTTTCATTTTGTTTTTTTTTTTAAATAACAAAACAGAAAGAGGAAGAGAGAGAGAGAGAGAGAGAGAAAGAGAAAGAAACAAGAAGACCTTGATAGTAAATTAATTAAATAAAAATAGTAAGATGATATTTCCTCCCATCCCATTTGTAGGATTACGAAATGAAATGGTTTTGAGTTAATTAAAAGTTAAAAAGTTAAAAGATAAAAAGTAATAATTAATAGAACCTTGAACATTGGAATAATGGGGTAGACCTTGGATTTTAGTTAACAGAATTTAATGTATATACTATTACTACTATGTCTCTTGGATGAGTTAGTTAGCCAAACAACACAGTTTTAAAGACGGGGAAAAGTTCGTACGATGTGATACTGAGGACAACTATACTGATGAAGCTTTTTTGGCGTCAAGAATTGGTTCCCTTCCAAGCGGCCAATTAATTCCGCGTTGCGGTATTGGCATCGGTACAACGAGACGACGTTCTGTCTAAAAGAAATGCTAAATTTATCTGTTGTAACGTAATACGTTGGTAACACACAGGCCTAGCAAAAGCTTTTACTAGAAGAACTTTTTCTTCTATTTCTCACATCAACTATCTACTCTTTTACATATTTATCATTAAATTATTTATATATATACATTTTTTCTTTTATTTCTTTCTTTTGATTAACAGGATGTGTATAATAAATGAAATATAAATGTCATCGTGTAACATTTGTAGGAAAAAGCAAACATGAAATTTGTCTTATTGAGAACAGGTGTTTCATAATGGGGAAAGCTAGTAAATTTTATAGAAAATTATAATGATATGAAATGAATAAAATATTAAGAAACATAAGAATAAGAATAAGAATAAGAAGAACAAATAATAAATAAAATAATATAAACGAATATTAACACGTTGAACGCCATGTTCTTCCCCAATAGTACAAAATATTGAAAAATATTGAATACATGTGTATTTAATATTAAAAAGAGATTCAACGGTATTTTTTGCTACTAGGGATTTTTAAGGAAATCCCC